AGGAATGTGCCAATGCAATGTGAGTCTTGAACGGAGTTGTCTCATCTTACTGCAGTTCTTGAGAATAACTATTTAGGTCGGTTACTTTGGCAATGGTCTGTGCTGCGTTCCCGATCCACGTGACTGTGTGCACTTTTCCGGTGTGTGCCATCCAGATGCCACTTGCGATCGGGATGAAAGGGTCTGCAAGTGTAATGCAGGTAAGGAGCTGTAGGTTATGGAATTTGGGCTCAAGTAAAAGGCAACTGGTACACGAAATTGAAAAGCAGGTGCTTAAAGGCAGTGGGCCCGGTTGCTGGAGGCGGGCGGCTGTTGCCAGCATTATTGGTGAAAGGGCTGCGAGTGAGCGTCTGGCCACACCCCGTTCAGCCTTTCCACCAGTGACGTTGAGAACAACCGCCTGCGTCCAGTCATCGTGTCCATGCCGAAAATGAGAGCAGGTTCGCTAGGTGGTGCTTCAGTGAGGGTCCAAGAGAAACGATAGAAGAACGCAAGATAGCCCCGATCCGAATCTTGAATCACAGTGATGTTGTACGCACCTAAATTAGATTCCTATAATGTTTTTATGCATGGTGGACGTTTGGGGGTTGTGAGGGGCGTAGCTAAAGTACCACTTGGGAAGAATGTGTTTGGACACACAGGTAACGCTAAAGTCCCCACTAAGGAATCTCGCAGGCGCTGTTTAGCGACGGGGGGGGGGGCATTTTGTACTAACATTGCTTCCCTAGTTCCGGTTTACGAATCTCACCATGGTAAAACTTGTGAACGCCTGTGAAGCTGGAGTAGCCACCATCCTAAAACGTGTCAACTCGAGAAAAGGCTACCTAGATGGGTCGGCACATCTATGAAAAGCCGAATGCCCCCCGTCGACAAACTGCGCCGAATCTCGCATATTACCAATTATTTTGCCTATCGTTCAAGCAGCACCACTTCGCTTCATGTTTTCCAAAAACCCAACACATTTTAGCCCGGGTTTTTCTCCTCTGATTTGACCTATTTCACAGTCTACCTACTATTTTAGTGATTTTTTCAAAATTTTGCTGGCATGCAGATGATTGGGGAGGGGGGGGAAGGGGGAGTTCATACGTCCAATCGACGGTCGAAAACAGTAGTTGTGCCGAGTCACCGGCTAGATATAACTTCTATATCGTGTGGTAAAAATGGGCGTCACGTGGTGGAAAAGCATTTGAAGAGAACTGAAGAATTAATCATCTCATCTAAAAATAGGAAAAGCTAAATAGGCATTAAATAAATAATTATATAAATAAACATTCTCATCTAAAAATAGAAAAGCTAAATAGGCATAAATAAATAAATAAATAAATAAATATGTAGCAATACTGAATAAAATAAAGCGTAGGCAAATTAGAACGGAAAATTGCGTCTTCGCGATGAACTCAACTCAGATAAGTGCTGTTCTAGGCTTCCTTGGCGATGGCATTTCCTGCTTCCCTGTTCGATCTTGTCGCTCTGACCCAAACGTATGTGATGTTGAAGCGATCTGTCTGCCGTCTGGGCAATGTATCTGTAAGCATGGATTCCGTGGTAATGGCTATAATTGCCTCAAAAGTGAGTTTGTGGACAATTAGCGAGAAAAGAGAGTGTGTGAAGGGATTCATGAACGGTAGCGTGCTGTTCAGTTTCGCCACTTCCACAGTTACGTCATCCATCAAACGAGCCGTTGAACTCGTGTTCGAACCGTTGTGATCGTGAAACGGAGCTGTGCATCTCTGGCACATGCATTTGCAAACATGGCTATAAAAGGCACGATGATGGAAGATGTCTCGGTATGTGAAAATTTCTCATTATTTTTGTGCCCACAAATGTCTCATGCTCAAGTGCTGAAATTACTTCAATCTTCTTCAACTGTTCTTGCACTTGTAGCTGGTTATTGGTTTTACGCGCGTAAAATCGATACTATTCTTAATGTGCAAGCACATATGGTGCGCTGCGAAAGACGAAAATCTGATGATTCCTGTGTAGATTTAATTAGACCGTAACTTCCGAAAATTCACAAACAATCTAACCTGGACCTCGCTTCTCACTTGCACCCTCCCAAATAATAGCTACTTTTCATGAAGGCGCAAGCTAATCGAAAGTAAAAGTTCTTAGCTTCTTATAAGGAGCCCAAAGGAGTGCTTTGGCCTATTTTAGGGGTCCTTTGGAGAGGCATTGGGCCAAATACCTAGCATGCTCAGTCCAACCACCTTACCCGGCCCTCTTAGCAACGGCGCTTTTCTAAGCAACGCGCCTACACTTGTTGAGAAGAGAAGTAAGAAATGAATTTTCTTCCCCCCCCCAAGTCCGATGACCTACCGCTGCTCCAGTAGTCGGGAAGAAATCTTTGGTCTACAAGTAACCGAGATGTTTTTACACTTGCATTATTCAGAAGAAGCAGCAAATGTGTAGACCCTATTTTAGTCCTCAAATTTTATCCTCCGAAGCGTGTAGCTCAGGATGAGATTCTGCTGCTGGTGTAAAAGTGAATCTCATTCTAAGCTTATTGTTAGCTGTTTAGAGTGTTGTATCTGTGAGCGATGTTGTTCTAGTGCCAGGTCGGGACATTTCCTGTTCAGGGACCGGAACCTTCATACCAGTGAACACAATTTTCCTGATATTGTACTACCCATTTTAGAGCAAATAACTCATTGAGCAGGTTTTTTCAAATTTACCTTCATATTTTCATATGTGAACGAGTGCCTGTCGTCGCCGTGCCATCATTTGGCTACCTGCGTGAATGAACCTGGTTCGTTTGTCTGCACCTGCCCTGAGGGTTATGCGGGCGATGGAAAGACATGTATCCAGCACCTGAAAATCGGTGAACTTGGAGGTAAGCCAACAAGAATCAGCTGGATTTTTAAATTTCTTCTCGCTATTTTTTTCATTCAGTGTTCTGCGAACCCGACGGCATGACGTTAGTGCTTGGAAATGAGACAACGGCCTTTGAAGGACGAATATTCGTTCGAGGACAAGCTGAAAATCCTTACTGTGCCAAAACGTTCTCACCATTACAGCACGCCTCTAAACCGTACATGTTCAAAGTTCCATTTGAACATTGTAATGTTCGACTGGAAGATCACGTGAGTTTCTGTGGGAAACGCCGCCCACAATTTCTGATAACTATGCTTTAGGATACTTTCGCAACAACTGTAATTGTCCAAAAACATCCGATGTTCATCACAACAGCTGCCGATGCTTACGATCTCAGATGCACGTATCCTGTTGGAGTTCGAGAGGTATCGCAGAGCTGTTTTTTAGTACCGGAACACCTGCAGGGTCATCCTTGCTTTCACCCCTGAACAGGCGCTAGATAACTCTGGTATCAGTACCCCAAGAGATCTGCTACCTTTTTCCAGTCAACAAAAGCCTATCGGGCTCTATGACCGCGATAATTTCCTTCCGTGCCAGTTCGTTTTTGCTGAACCTTGTCCATGGGCGGGGCCGTCTGGGGTGGAGCTTTTGCAGGTAAAAACTCGCATCCGAGACATAATAATGAAAACTTCCATGGAAATGGATCGAAGTAAGCGGTCTCCTGTCAAGCGAGAAGCGGCCTCGAGACATTCGCACGGTAGTAATGAATTTACACCGATAGCCATACTAGCCGTATTCTCTAGTAACAAGCGCGCCTGCAACTATTCTACGTGTCGCCACAACTCCTGCACCCACACCTTCTTCCTCTTCTCGTCCTGGTCACTCTCAAATAATTGCCAGAATAAAAGCTCAGACTAATGATTCATTCTGCAGGTGAATCAAATGTGAACGTATCTGACTTGACGACGTCTTCAACACTCACCGATAACGCTCATGGTCCCAGCTGCCGCCTAACTGTCACTAACGAGGCTGACGAGAGCATCGCCGCGGCCGTTGTCGGGCAAGCTCTACGCCTTCGTCTTGAAGTTACGCCCAACGGTAAGTAGGAACCGAAATATGACCAATAGGTCACCATTGAAGACTCATGGGCGAAAAAATGGACTATAATCCTGTGGCTCCTCATGCGTCCTCCTAAAAGATATTTATGGAGGGCGCACTAATGATCAAGGCTCATCGGTTATGAGTCCCCGTCCATCAGTTATCGCGGAACATGTCTTTGAAAAGGATCATTTTCAGACACGTATTCGATTCTGCCGCGTAACTGTTTCGCCATCAATATCGAAACTGGCGAGAGGTACTCGCTACGATAAGCTGGTTTGCAATCATATCAGTTGTTTCACAGCAAAAGACAAAGATCTCGCTCCCAGCTGGACGGAAACCGTCTTCAGGGTTTGAAGATCAGGTGGGTTGAACGGAACAATTCTGCCTATCAATTCAATCTGCACGCTTTTGGTAACTATAAAAAGCTCATTTGCAGGACTTTCAAATGGCCTGACAGTTCGATGATCCGATTCCAATGTGACTGTAGCGCATGTGTTGGACCCTGCCCTGAGGTACTAACTTTGATTGCTCACAAAGACTTGGACTTTAGTACGAAGCGGGAACTGAGCCACTTTGAAAACCTTCCCCACAAAAAAAATTTTTTCAATACAATATGTAGTTTCAACAGAAAAATCACCTAAACTTAACAAACAACACAAGAAAATAAAAAATGTAAAATGACAATAATTAATATAAACAATGTGAAAATAAGATAAAAATCAACCAAGTTTCAACTAAATAACACGGTTCCAAACTTATGAACGATATATTGAACAGTTACTACTTTTTGAGTACAAATCGGACACTTGTGTGGACTGATCGTATGGGCGGAGACCGTCCACCATTACGTCTTCCTCGTTGGCGCGCCCCTCATATTCACCGTTCTATTGTCAGGGGTGCGCATATGAGGAACGCACAATTTTTGAATATCTCCTCCCACAGTACCGTAACCTATCATTCAAAGTCAGTTTGAGCTAGTGCACGTCAAATCATGACTGGAAAAAAAGTTATGCGCTAACCATTGCAGGAGGGTTATGTGTGAAGCTCACAGTGTCTTTATCAGAATTTTTATCATTTCCTGATTTTTTAACTTCCAGATGAACTGTGGTCGTCGACGAGCAGCCGCGATGAGACGATTCCGTTTCCGACGTGTCCGCGACGTCAAAAATGGAACCGCTATCGAAGAACGGCCCACCGATGCTGATTACGACGAAGACGACGAGGAAAAGGAGCTTCTCAAAAAGGTGTGCTTCAAAAGGGCCAAAATGGTGTTGTAACGATCAGCAGTGGCTATTCAGTTTAAATATACCTCCCTTACTTCAGATTATTGATCCGAAACGGTTAGCTTTCTCGTCGTTGGTGAGAGTTCGTGAGGATGAAGAAGAGGAACGAGCTCAACAGCAAGTCGTTCTGAACTAATCATTTTCCTCGAGTCTTGTACGGCAATTAATGCAGGAGGATGAGAAGAAAGGATTGTGAACGAAGAGATCCACATGGAAGGCGGTCGTATGGGTTTCCTGGCATGAACTCAGCAAACTCGTACACTCATGGGCCTTGTTTTGCGCTTTCCGCCGCTCCTCTCGCGACTATCCTGTCACTGACCATCCCTATTTCATTTTCGAACTCCACTAGCAGAGACTGGCGATAGAGAGGTTCATTACTACTCACACAGTCTTTTTCGCTGCGAGTGATAGGGCGTGTCCGTGAGGCTAAGTTTGGCGCTCTCACAGCCCGTTCTCCACCTCCGGATGGAGCGGGTAAGTCGCAACAGTTGATTGGAAAAGACTGATATGAACGATATGCTACAGCTTCGTCGCTGACCAAGAGAAAGTAAAAAGAGAATGGGCCGTGCGGCGACAGGGCACATCGTTGTTGGGGAATCCCCAACAGGGGGGTCGTATTTGGCCGCCAGGAGAGGGGGTCGTATTTGGGCCGAGAAAATTTATTTTGATAGTTGATTTTTCTCGCTTCAAAGGCGTTGTAAGGGGTCGTACTTACGAGGGGGGCATGTTTACTTTCTGTCCTTTCTAGGAGTGGCGAGGGTGGTGATTGACTTTTCATGATTCTCT